AGGTAGGAGAAGACCCGGCGGAGCTCCTGCGTGCCCATCAACGTGCACATACACATATGCAAATACAATTTTATATGTTATATGTATGTGTGTGTAATATTTAAAATCATAAGTTAAATAATAGCATATCATATTTTATAAATTTTATCATTAGTAAAAATGAACGATAAACTATTAACTTACATATTAATTTTTATATCGATTGCAGTTATATAATTTTTGCAATACTTTTTTAGTATAAACAATTGATTAGATAAAATAATATTGAAATAATTATTATTATAGTATCAAAATTGAAAATTTTGGGTATATCATAAAAATTAAATAACTAATGTTGATAAAAAACACTTGTTTAGTGAGTTAAAACCATAAACAATCAAATAAATAGTTTGAAAAAAAAATTTAAATTATAATTTCATTTAATGTGGCTTTATGATTTGTTAGGAGTAATTACTATATAATAAAATAAATAAACAAATATAAGTACTTAATTAATGCAAAATAACTTCTTTTGGAGGAAAAATTTGTGAGGTTTTATTAAATACACATGAGCTAGTAATTATATATATAGATAAGCTTAGATTTTTATCGGTTCATCAATAATTTTGGAAAAGATATGACTAAAAGATAATCTGATACCCAAAAAATCTTTTCCCTTAAATTGGCCACAATAATTGGCAAAAATATGAGAAACATTCTATAAATCTTAGCCGCAATGAATGACTTGGTGTTGTAATTCGAATTTCAAAATACGACCGCCATATTATAAATTTTTTTTAAATAAAATTACTAAAAAAAGTAAAAAGAAATATTTAAGCGAGATTTTAGTTACCATTTCAGGTAAATGTCAAACCTTTTATATTTATATAGATATAGATTCTTTTACCTTAATATAGTTTGAGTGAAAGACAAAACAAATGTGAATAAATTAGACATGCATCAATTGTATTGCTAAATCATTTACCAATTTATATTATTTAAAATTTTATCAATTAATATTTAATTTACATGTAATTATGTTTTTATACGAATATATTTTTTTCAAATTCATATAAAATTCACAAATATATATATATATATATATATATATATATATATATATATATTTTAATCAGCCACGGTATCCTGAGCTATGCTCCGACTAATCCGTTGGTCAACCTGCAGGGTCGCACACCTGACGGTGGTGGGTGAGTATCCCAACAAAGGTTTTCTACATCCACAAAGACTCGAACCCGAGAACTTGTTTAAGCGACATCAAACTACTTACCACTTGAGTCAACTCATGTCGGTAAAATTCACAAATATTAACTTTTATAATATGCATATCCAATAATTCTAACTTTTTTGCACGAAAAGCTATACAGTTATAAGTGAGGCTGATAATAATGATTCTAAAAATTTTCTACCGTTGAAAATTGATACTCTAAGCTTCATCGTAACTTAATTTATTCATCATGTTATTTTTGAGCTCTGATTGTGAGACTGATCCCTAGCCCTAGGCCCTACCTATATATAATGCTCATATATGATCTCATGCTTAAATATTTTTTTCATGATTACTTTGACTTAACAAAATCTCTTACTGCTTAATTAGGAGTAGTGATTAATTATTAGTGCAACTAATTAAATGAAGGTTTTAAGGTAGTGCCACATGCATGATCAATCAGCAACTAAATTTAGGTTCTATAATAAAATAGAAATAACATAGAATCAATCATAGCAATTAATATTGCATCCACAAGTAGATAATTGAACGAAATTAGGCGCTTGCGAGTCTGGCTCGACTCATTAAGATTTGAGCCTGACTTGTCTTTTTTTTTTTCCGAAACGACAGAAGAGCCTGACTTGTCTTGTTTGATAAAAAAGTGGAGCACGAACTCATTTAGTTATCAATCTCGAAACGTTAATGCTTGAAAATTAGATTTTTTTTAATGTAATTATTTATCACTCAATTCGTTAATATTGTTAACAGTGTCATGATCAAGCTCGTTTATTGACACGTTTTGTTAGTGACTCGAGATCAACTCGATAGATATAGGTTCAAGCTAAGCTCCTTAATTTACAGCCTAATATAATTCCGTATTTGGAAAGTACCAAAAAAAAAAAAAAACTCAAAAAACCTAAGGAAATTTGACAAAGTATAGTCTTACCAATTGATTTATGTGATCTATTATATATATAGTGATTTGAATTTTTCTATATATTGTCTAATAAGTGCAATAGATTAACTAATTTCCTTTTTTGACCTTGTTAGAATCAAATGAAAAAGTCATTTTTGTTATCATTTTTACTATAATACTATTTATAGAACTATTAAAAACGAAATGAGTTAGCTCGTTATCTTGATTCATGCTAAGTTTGAAAACAATTGGTGTGTTAAGTACTTTATTAAAATATTTAATATAATTTGATTAATTAATGTTCGAGTTCAATTCAACTCGATATCTAATTGAACTCCAGTATCAAGAATTCGAGCTCGACCGACTTGTTTATTCGTGAAAAGTGAAAAATGGCTGGTAAAATCGAAAGTCAAATACTGGAAATTATTCGTGACGGTAAAATAATTTTTAGAAATTTGTAAAGAGGCAAAATGCACCTTAATTTAGTCCTTTGTTTATGTGCCACGCAATGACCTAACGTTAGTCCAAATCCAACGTGTATCCATTATGATGTTTGACATTTTTTCCCTGTGCATGGATAAATACAAAGAAGTCAACTAATTGAAAATTAATTTTCATGCCAGCGACATTTATAATTAATTGACTTTATTTTTTTTTTTTTTTGGAATTATTAAATTTGAAAAGCATGCTATATATAGTTAGTTTGACATTTGTTCGAATTTCATCATTTGTCGGAAAATTCAGAAACGTACAAGTTTCGTGTATCTCATTTATTCTACAAATTTTTTGGATGTTATTTTATAAATTTATTATTATTAAAAGGGTTAATTGCATAAAATACCACCACCTTTTGTTTAATTGCAAATAAAACTCAACATTTTCAATTTGGCAAAAAAATATCTAACTTTTATTAAGTGTTGCAATTTTGTCTCGTCCGCCGGACCGCCGCCGCCAACCGTCGTCGCCAACTTTGCCGGATATTGAAAATTTTTATATGATCTTGTAGCTCTCCTCCGTGCCAACAACATATCCGAGTTTCACGAAAAAATTTCGACGACAAGACGTCCAATTTTTCGGTCAAAGGTCGTAAAAAATTTAGATCTACCACCTTTGACCGGAAAATTGGACGTCTTATCGTCGAAATTTTTTCGTGAAACACGGATATGTTGTTGGCACGGAAGAGAGCTACAAGATCATATAAAAATTTTTAATATCCGGCGAAGTTGACGGCGACGGGTGGTGGTTGGTGGCGGCGGTCCGGCGGACGAGACAAAATTGCAACACTTAATAAAAGTTAAGTATTTTTTTGCCAAATTGAAAAGGTTGAGTTTTATTTGCAATAAAACAAAAGGTGATGATTTTTTATGCAATTAACCCTTATTAAAAAGAAAAATCAAAAGTTACACCTAAAAATCGGTGTATATCAGAGGTTGAAAAATGCTCACCTACCCACGGTGGACACAAGTTAATATGTCCACCACATAGGTGACATGCATTCATTGGTGATGTTAATATGTTTAAATAAATACATCACCAATGAGTGCATGCCACCTACGCGGTGGACATATTAACATGTGTCCACCGTGGGTAGGGGAGCATTTCTAATCAAAGGTTATCATATACTCTATTAGAATGTGATAGATTAATTAATGTAGTTTCACATATTTCAAAAATTGGTCAGTCGGATTAATATATTTTGATCGAAAATCCAGCTTTCGATGATATATTTTTAAAATTGATTAATCGGAGCATGAGCGAATTTAGATGTATGAGTAGGGGGGCAATTGCCCCCCTCAAATTTTAATTTTTTTACTATTAATAAAAAAAAAATTATCCCCTTTTAAATTTATTTTTGCACCCACAAATTTTTTTTTAAACGTAACTCACAAGAACAAGTAAAATTTATTTTTGCACCCCAATTTTTATGTTTTTAAACGTCACTCACAAGGACAACTTGTCCACAATCATCAATTAACAATTCAACATTTCTTTTATTCTACTATTAATTTTGTATATTAATTATTATCATTCTACAATTTTAATTGGCTCATATAAAAGACTTCAACTATCTTTTATTCCTAGGGCTGAAATTTTTTTACTGAAAACCAACCAAAAGTAACCGAAAATTGGTTACCGAAATGTTATCGGTTCAGTATCGGTTCTAAATCCATTAGGGTTCGATCTTGAACATATTATGTCATGTCTTTTGCCCCCTCTCAACTAATTTTCTGGTTTCGCCCCTTATTCGGAGCATATTATTTGTCGAAAAATTTATATATCAGAGTGAAGTTGATTCATATTTACGATAAATATCAGTTACCAAATCGGTAAATATAATTATGAAAATTATCGAACCAAAATTGAACTTCTGATCAACAATAGCATCAATTAGTTTAATTAATTATTATTTTTCTTTGAAAGAATTAATTAATTTTAATACAACTCAAATTGACAAGGCTACTTTTAAAATTTTCCCAAGTTATCATGGCAAACAAATATAATGCTTGTTTACATCCATCCTTTTCATGTAATCTTAAAGCAACATCTTATATACGCTCTGTATAAATAAATGATAGCAACTTTTATTTATTTATTTTTTAACATTAACTTAGTCAAACACCGTGTTAAATAGTCTTCATATGATATATTTAAAAATAAAAAAAAGTCTCTGATCACACAATTAAGCATGTCTTAATGGTTTAGTTAATTCGATCATTAGTCAAAACCACTCAGTGAAGCCTCCTAATTAAGTCTTAGCATGTGGAAGATTTGTATAATTATAACATGCGCTACTAATAATCCAAATATGGAAATTAATTAAAATAATTAAATAGGCAAATCGAAACAAAATTGTCGACATTCTTTTGTCATGCATAGACAATGAAAGTAAGAGCAAAAGTTGGACTCTTCGTTGACTTTTAAAAGTAGAGGAATTTAATTGCAACATATATTTAATTTATTTATTGTACTTTCATTTCAAGTCATAGTTTGTAAGTTCTAATAGTGTAAATCTAAAAATCATTGCGTTTATTGAAATAGAAACTTATTTACCGACAAGCTAGTACTCTATATTAGAGCTTTATTTTAATTTTTTGTGGTACAAAGATGGAGGTTGAGGCCCAAACTGCTAGACTAGACTAGAACTCATTGTGGGTGGGACACCTCGATAATGTCGTACTCAAGCCACGATATCATCCCCGCGGGAGGAGAATCACACCGGTGCATGCCTAACGTGGAGGATGACGCCAAGGCCGCCATATGATCAGCCGCAAAGTTGGCTTCCTCATGCACATGTTGGATTCGAATACGCCACTCCCTCTGAACTAGGCTGCGAATGGCTCGAACTAGGGCATCGTGAGCTTAAAGTTCTTGAGTTTTACTCATGATACTCGAGAGTTGATTCCAACTCATGATACTCGAGTTTAAGTTTTACTCCTTATCGATCAGAGTTGATTCGAACTCATTATACTCGAGTTCAAGTTTGACTCCTTATCCAGTCAAGTATGACTTGTCAAGCAAATTCGAGACTTGACAAGTTGAATTATACTAAAAGTACAAGAAATTACGTAAAGATTATTTTTCATTTCTTTTTTTTCTAAAAGTACTAGCTTTTTAATCTATCAATAAATGAGCGAGCTCATCTCGTTTATCAAATGAGCCAAGCTCGTGGAGAACTCCCCAGCTGTTTGCTTCGTTTAAGAATGCTAAAGCTTGTATAAAAAAATATACATGTTGCTTTGATTTTCTTCTTACTCATTCATTGATTATGAGTTTTCATCTAGAAATTAAGTCTCAAAATTCTCCACCCTAAATCAAATTTTCTTTGGAGACGCATTACAATAAAA